TATATATATATATATATATATATATATATATTATATTGTACAATTTATTACATTTATATTGTTACAATCATATTTGTTTAAAACTATTTATGTACATTTGTTTAATACTTTACTTACATTTTTTAGCAAAGTTTAATCTCTTAAGTGCTCAAAATGTCCTCCTTCAGCATTGTAACATTCCTCAACCCACTCCAGAATGCCATGACGCACAGCACGATACAAATCCCAATCTGCATCAATTTCAGTAAATACTTCTGAGATGTAGTCTTTTAATTCGTCCATTGTGTGGGGATTTCTCTCATAAAACTTGTTCTCAACTACACCCCCAAAAAAGAAATCCATCGGTGTTACATCGGATGAGTGGGGTAGCTATTCAATGCTTCCCCTTCTTCTGAACCAATGCCGTGGAAAGATTTGGTTAAGGTCATCCCTTACCACCAAAGCATAATGGTGCAGGGTAGGGGGACATCTTGCTCAAAGAACAGTTCAGCAAACTTCGCTCTGGTTCTGAGCTGTGATCTAAAATGTGAAACAAATGTAAGCCTACTTTTGATTTACCCTCATATATATATATATAATATATATATATATATAAATATATACACAAGTATAGGATTGGTGTATACAGAATAGATTCCAATAACCAACAAATACTATTCTGAAAAGAGGGCTCAATACAGAGTAGAGCAAATATAATTATTTATTCAAAAATTATAACATAAATGTTATAAAATCACTGAGTTAAATAGCCATTTTCTTTCAACACTTCTGGTGTCTTATCAAGTGATGGTGTTGATAAGACACCAGAAGTGTTGAAACAAAATGGCTATTTTTGTAGTGATTTTATAACATATTTATGTTATAATTTTTGAATAAATAATTATATATATATATAATGCAATAGTTATGAATTAAAGTGCTCAATATCAGGGAGAGAGTATATGTAAATATAAAAGTGGACATTGAAGTCAACACCTAGAGGCAACAGTCTGTTTCATGCTAAACACAATTGTCAGGCTATGTGCATTGTGTTTTGCTTGACTATTTCAGACAGGTCTGTGATGCATTATGGGTAGTCTATTGTACAGGGTGTTTCAAAAAATTTGATATCCTTTGAGATGTAAATATCACAGAAAGTACATGATTAAGGTAAATGAAATTAAAAAGTATTAATGTTGAAGATCATAAGATTTATTCTTCCAAATCTGAATGAGAAATTCAAAATCATGTGGATTATGTGAACGATTTCACAAATGTTCAATATGCGCACCGTCTGAGACATAGCATTTTTATACCTGTAAAGAAAAAGATTAAAGAACATAAAAATACAAATAAGAAAAACACAAAAACATAAAAACATAAAACAAACATTAAACATAAAGATGCTATTAAAATTTGAAGTCATTTGAAGGAGATCTAACAAAGTTATTAGATTGCGAAATGATATCAAATTTTTTGAAACACCCTGTATTATTCTAACGCTTATTTTAGTGGGCAGTAATGGCCATTTAGAATTATTCTAGAAGCTATTGAGTAGGAATAATTGTAGATCCAAATGTAGGCTGAACAATATCAGCCTACAAGAAAAAGATAATGATTTACATTGCATTTCAATTTTTGAAGATCAAAATTGACTGGAAAGCAAGGAGCCTGAAGAGAGTTCCACAAGTGAGAAAAGAAACTCTTAATGTAGAACTTAATTATCTTCAACTGTAAAATGAGACCTAACTACCAATCTAGTCATATGTTTGGATAATTCAAAATTCTGGATAGTTGAATACCTAAAGTTATCAAAAAAAGAATAAAGAAAAACATAATTTTCTGGAATTGATTTAAAATTTATATCATCAAATAGGCTTTTCCAATGCATTATTCAAGGTTTTGTCCAGTTTATTTTCTATGTAAAACTGCATCATTTTTAGTCTGTTTCCAGGTGGCCTAACATTTTCTACTGCTAATTCCTGAAACTGGTTTAATGTAGACATACATGGAAGGGTCACTTCTGGTTGAAAATGCAACCAACTTAAACCATTTGTCAAACATTGGTTCAAAATGTTAAAATTGGGCATTGGGGCTGTTGAACTTTAACCAGAGCACTATTATTATCCTCCTCCTCCATTTCAACAATTCTAAGGTTACTGTGTTCATTCAAATTTATCTTTTTTTGTATGCAAAAACAATAAGGAAATTAACAAGAATAAACTGATTTTATAAGTGTTTTTATCAAATGTTGAATATGGTTTTCTAAGTTCTCAAAACCCTTATCTGAGATGAAATATTAGGATCGTTTTAGTTCAGATAAGTGAAAAATGTTTGGATTATTTCACTTTCTCTTCATTTCATGTCCGGATAATTGAATTCCGGGAAGACTAAGGTATGGATAATCAGGAAAGGACTGTACTGGCGATAGAAAGAGGACCAAGAAACTCTAACTTACTCATGGCTAAGAGATCATTATATCTCACCTATCCAGTCAGAGCTGCTATTTGCAATTTAATTAAAACACATGCATGGTTCAAGCTCTTTTAAAACTATTGTGAATTCACATGCATGGTCAAAAACCTGAATAAAAAGTGAGCCACACAGATGAGCAAATGATCAAATACAGGACTTTGAAAACTTTTTACACCATGAGTGCTTTAGTAGGTCCCCAGTGAATACTTATTTTATTTATTCATTTATTCATTTTATTTTATTTATTCATTTTATTTTATTTATTTATCTATTTTATTTTATTTTATTTATTCTATTTTATTTTATTTTATTTATTTTATTTTATTAATTTATTTTGTTAATTTATTTTATTAAATCATTTTATCTATTTAATTTATTTATTTATTTATTTTATTTTATTTATTTATCTATTTATCTATTCTAATTCTATTTTATTTTATTTATTTATTTTATTTATTGTTTTATTTTATTTTATTTTTTATTTTATTGTATTTATTTTATTTGTATTTATTTTATTTGTATTTATTTTATTTGTATTTATTTTATTTGTATTTATTTTATTTGTATTTATTTTATTTGTATTTATTTTATTTGTATTTATTTTATTTGTATTTATTTTATTTGTATTTATTTTATTTGTATTTATTTTATTTGTATTTATTTTATTTGTATTTATTTTATTTGTATTTATTTTATTTGTATTTATTTTATTTGTATTTATTTTATTTTATCTTATTTATTTTATCTTATTTATTTATCTATTTATTTTATTAATTTATATGTTAAATCAAAGTGAGAGATGTAGGTTCTTGTGGTGATTGGGTTCATTGTTAGATTGAATGGATCACAAATCAAATTAGATGTAGGATAGTCAATGAAGCCCAGCCTGTCCTCACTTCCTCTTTGGCCTTCTGCCACATAACAATTGTAAAAGTTGTTAAAATAAACAGCTACAGGTCTTTGACTTGTTCAGGACAGAACTCATTGCAACAACTACTACAGATGATACAATGCTGTTGTAGACATAATCGTGTTTTTTCAGATAAAAAAATAAAAATAAATATACAAATAATTACATAAAATTTAACAACAACATATTTTATTGCCTTAACAAAACTAAACAGAAATAATAGAAAAGGTGTGTGTAAGTAGATGTCCTTTTTCATATGTATGTGTGTGCAAAGGTCATATAGGAGATTTACATCATGAGAAGAGTTCTTTGATAACCTTTGGGCATCATGTCCTGTGTACTTTTGCAACATGACATCCACTGGTCACTTAAGAGTGGAAGCAGGACATGTCAATCTTTAAGATATCTTTTACTTTATCTTTAATTATTTATTTTATTTATTTATATTATTTATTCATTTTATTTATTTCATTTAACCCCCAAGCAAGGTGATAAAGCAACTAAGATGCAAGGGTTGACAGTAGATTGAAGGAAATTTAGCAAATGCTACTGACAAGAAAGGACAATAAGAAGACCAGGATTCAAGGAGACAGAAGGTGACAGTTGACATTGCATTTAGATTTTTGTAGAATGCCGTTGATACAATGGTGTGATGTTAGACAAGATTTCTGTAGGTGAGAAGGGTGAAAGAAGAAACTATTACAATAGAATTTACGGTCACACTTAGAAATGTCAACAGTAGAATGATGAGACCTAACTGCCAATCTAGTATCCTGTGAGTAAACAGAAAAAAGACTGAAACTTTTACCCAGGTTTCTTTTATACAGATTTGGTAATGCTATCTAGTGGTAATTAGCAGAAGTTCTTTGGCAGACAAGTGGAGTAATCCAACACATTGGTTTGGCTTATTTTGTATTAAAGCATATCAATCTTTATGGGTTATTTAATGCTAACAAATTTTTTAGAGTAGGTTCATATGAATAGAATATGTATTCTTTGTAAGTGATCAGTTTGTAGATCAGGTTGCGTTGACGTATTTTTGTAAAGAGGGTTTTTGTCAAGAGTCAAATATATTGCTGGTAATATTTTTTTGAAATATACTGCTGGTAATTTTTTTTTTTTTTTAAATCTATTGCTGGTAATATTTTTACTCTATAAATCTATTTTTATTATTTTAGTAGTGTTTTTACCCCAGTTGGTGGGGTTAACTATTTGCCCATAGATGGGAGCCTAACAGGTGCTATCACTATGGGTCAGAGTGGACCTGGGAATAGTAATTTAAGAGGTGGTTCTACACTCCTGAAAACCTCCCAATCAGAGACCTTGCTGCCAGATGTATTTTATCGTTATACCCAGGATGGCCAACATATTGGTCAGCATGTTAATACTAATAGATGCATTACAAAAAAAAACTTAGATGTACTGAAAGTGATTTTTCTATTTATTTATTTGATTTTTTTTTTTGTGAATATCATATATATATATATATATATATATATATATATATATATATAAAATAATAATAATATTGCACAATCTCTCTGACCACGACTAACAATATTCTTTTTTTTTTTTTTTCTATTCGGTTTTACTTTTTAATAGTCCATTAAATATGGTAATATTTATCTTATTTCAGGTTTTTCCCCAGGAACTGGAAGTCCAGCTAGAATACAGAAACTTCACAGACTGGCTGCATACCTTTGAACTCTACCGAGGAAAGAAGATCAGTGGAGATGACGCTGACGAAAGTCGTGTCGTCGGAAAATTTAAAGTATGTCACCAACACTATATTCGTATTACTACCATGGCAATTCTTTTGCTGTTTTGCATTTTACAGTATTTCGCCACTTTTTATCGTAAAATATGCTACCAATGAACCTGTTTTTTTTTGTTTTGTTTGTCGTTTTTTTAATCTCTCTTGAGAAAATATAAATTTGTTACTATTGTCAGTTAAAAATTTATTTCAAATATACAGGGTAAAGCATACAATCTGGAACCTCCGTTGACGCAATCTAAGGGAGGTGACTCTGTGGACATTAACACGTGGGTCTAAGGGAAGTAACCCGGTCCACTATTTATAACCTTTAAGAAACGACAAATTTTCACCTATTTCTTCTCCAAATCAGCATGAAATTGTTTGCTTTTTTTAAACCTGAGATCCAATATTTTCAACAAACTTAAATGAAATACAAGAGTAAAACATTTAACAACTTTTATACAGTCTTCTCAAAGTTCTTTTTCGGGATTTTTTTTATTATTTATAAATAATTTACTATAAACGTAATTTTAATGGCTACACGTATTTGAGTAGACATCCCTAATTTATTTAGAATGAAATTAACATCTACCGGGCTATATAATAGAAAGTTCTATCAGCAGGGATTGAACCTGAATTCTCTTAATTTCTTAACTTTAAATGTAGAAAATACCAAAATTTTTGGATCTTTTCTGTTAATTCACTCCAAATAATGTAAAGTTACTTATCCCAAATATTAATTCACCCCAAGAAATTATAAATTTTAAATCAAAGTTTATTTATTTTTTATGAAATTTTTGGCACTCTTTTGAAATTGTAAATTTTAAATCAAAATTGCTTCACAACAACTCCAGCCCCCAGAATGAGAAATTAGCAAAAATCAAGGAGTTATTCACATTTTGTAAGTGCAAATTATATTCAAGGATTTTTTTACAATTAAAAAAACAAAGAAAAAAAAAATTTGATTTTGGCTTGTCTATTGGGGTGAGTGTGAATGCAAACAACCCCACTCAACCCACACTTAGGAATGAGTGGCAGAACTAATTTCAACTCGATTTAAAATCAGTTATCAATTTCAACTGGCTCCTGTTCTCTCTAAACTCTACAATAAATGCCTTGCTACGGCTTACTTTCCTGCTTGTTGGAAATCCTCTTTTGTAGTTCCAGTATTTAAGAACTTGGGTGAACTGACCAATCCTTCTATCGTTATATTAGCCTTTTACCACTTTTTGTTAAAGTATTTGAGACTCTAATTAATTCTGAATTGGTTAAGCGTCTCACATCGCATGATCTTCTTTCAGATAAACAATATGGCTTTCACTTCTCTAGGTCAGCTGCTGCTGCGTTAATGATTATTCCTGTTCTTTTATCGCTCTCTCCCTCCTTAATAATGTTTTTTTTTTTTTTTTTTTTATTTTCTTGCATATGGTAACCCTTTGCATTTTAGTGGCTTTATTGCTTGAGGTGAAATTATTTAAAGAAAAAGGCTGCTTCCTTAATTACTGCAGTCTTAATCTGTTCAAGTCTAAGATCAACTATATATCTTCATGATTGGTACTTTCTCCTCCTACATCCATACAACAACCTCATTCAGTAACACTCTATTTTGAGTGGCTCTTTAGCTATATATTTAGCAAAAAGAAGACAAAGGAACATGTTCTATGATATTTTTTTGCACCCATCTGTAGAACCACATCTTTGTTGCTTTATAGTTCCTCTTTGAAGAGATAGTCCAGCATTTGTTGTCATATGGAAGATTAGATATTATTTAATAATTCAGTACTCTTTTTTTCTTATATGTTGGTTTGTTCCTGAAAGGCATCTTTCACAATTCTTATGTGCTTTGGAATTTTGTGACAGATTTTCCATTGTCTCTTCCTGCACTATACAGTTGAACTTCTGTATCTGCTTGATTTTGACATCCCCAATATATAACTTACACCTTGGGCTGTCTCTTTTGCTGATGACCATATATTGTTTTTTTCACAGTTAATTTCTTGTTGCTTCCTATTATTAGTCCTACATTGAGTAACCCTTTGCATTTTAGTGGCTTTATTGCTTGAGGTGAAATTATTTAAAGAAAAAGGCTTATCTTGGATAAACAATTCATAAGAAGAAAAAAAAAAGAACAACTCTGAATTCCAAACTGAGGAGAGGGCAATAAGAATGCAATCTATATTCAAAAGGATGGCAACAGTGCTGGGCCGTCCTTGGTATGACGATAAACTACATCTGTATCCTGGGTAAGAGATAAACTATGTCCAACAGCAAGGCCTCTGCTCAGCAGGTTTTGAGGAGCATGGAGCCACCTCTTAATTGCTGGTGTTCCCAGGTCCACCCTGACCCACGGTGGTAGCACCTGTTAGGGTCCCAGCTATGGGCAAATAGTTAACCCTCAAACTAGGGTCAAAACATTATGAAAGTGTAAAAATAGATTTTAATACCAGAAATACTTTTTTTTTAAATTATTGCCAGCAATACATTTTTGAAGAAAAAATATTACCAGGAACAAAAATTTTGTTGGCATTAAATGACCCATTGAGGTTGATGTGCCATAAAACAAAACAACTAACCAACGAACCAACCAGAAATAGATTTTTGGAAAAAAATATTACAATGAAAATTTTGTCAGTATTAAATAACCCATTGAGGTTGATATGCCATAAAACAAAATAAACCAAACCAATCTAAACCAAAGAATACATATTCTATTCATATAAACTTATCCTAAAAATCTTGTCAGCATTAAATAACCTATTGAGGTTGATATGCCATAAAACAAACCAAACCACCAAGCTAAGAATGCAACCACTCTTCTATCTTTCCCAAGGAGGCATGGCAAAAAGGATTATGTAGAGAGACATGTCCAGAAAGGGACATAACATTTTTAAAGAAGATATATAGAGGGACCAAGCTAACGGTTAACAGCATGGTAGATGGTATCAAGGAACCATATCCAAAATAACTTCCCTTTGAAAGGAATGAGTTTATGTCTCTCAAAAGGTCAGGTCAAGGATCAGTTCCCACCTATGGTACCATGAAAACCAGCATAACTTGTGAAATGTTATTTGGAGAGGAAACAATTACCATCAAATCCCATTCTTTTGTGCATGACATCAAGGATTCAACATGTAGTCCCAATGACCTATGCTATCACTGGATAATTTGAAATTGGTTTTAAAAAATAAGCACTTTAAATGCATTTACTACCATTGTTTTTTTTTTAATCATTTCACCCTAAACAAGGCAATAAAGTTATTAAGACACAAGGAATTACTGAGTAAAATAATAAGGAAAAGAAAAATATTATTAAGGAGCAAGAACAATAAAAGTAAAGGAATCAAGATGATAATAAATAACAACTGACATTGCATTTAAATATTTGAAGATCAAATTTGTCTGGAAAGCAAGAAGCCAGAAGAGAGTTCCACAAGCGAGAAGTATAAGAGAAACTGCTAGCAAAGAACTTAAGACTACATCTAACCAGTTCAAGACTAAAAGACACCTTGTTATCAATCTAGTACTGCATTTAAATTCATAAAGTCTAGATACTATAAAGGAAAGTTCATCAGAACAAGTACCATGAAAGTATTTGTAGAAAAGACGCAGGAAAGATACAATATGGCAGTGAAAAAGTGACAAAATTCCAAGAATCATTGCAGATTGTTCTTTGGATCTTAAAATTTAATTAATATTTTAGAGACAATTTGGTTATCATCAAGCACTGATACGAAAAGAAATAAGACCCAGGTCATAACTTTGTGATCATACAAAGCAGAATTTTCTCTTCGCTTTAGATTGAAGATTATTATTGGATTGTTTTCCTTTTATAAACAAATTCCCCACTTAATCTAAAACAAAATAGCATATAAGTCAGCAATTCTACAAAAAACAGGAAGTTGTGGAGAGCAGTGGTCACCAGTGTTCCAAAGGGACATGACATATAGAAGAAGAGAGCAATGCAAAAGGATGTATACTTGTGTTTTATGGGCACATGGCCAAGTGGTTAGAACATTCGTTTTCAGAAAATGAGACCCGGGTTCAAATCTCATTATGGTCAATTTGTCAGGGAGACTTCCTGATGTTATTGGACTGGAGGGGTCAATCCCAGCATTATTACCTTTGGAAAGTGCCTGGAAAACCATGTCACAGGTTGACCCAAGCCTTGTGAGTGAAATTAGGTAGACAGAACCTTTGGGTACCATCAATAGCTGTGCTAGCACAAAGTCACAAGTCATTGTGACTGAGAGCTTGAGTGTGCTGGCCTTGTTCAAATTGTTGTTCATGCTAGATTAAAACACTCTTTCCCCAGAAACAGTAACTAAGGTTTGCTCAGCATAGTTTCAGTATGAACAAGGTTGGTTCGGGGGGTTGAATAAACACAAATGCACCTGAGTATGCATCTACAATGTTTTTTGGCTAGCCACCCTAGTAGACAGGTATCCTTGAATACAGTGGCCAGCTATATATATATATATATATATATATATATATATATATATATATACCTATGTTTTATTGAGTGTGCAAATGTGTTTGATAAGATATGTCAAAAAGAACTTTTGGAACTGGTAGGTAACCATATTTGAGAAAGATAGTCCAGAATTTATACTGGCAGCTAACCACTTGCATATAGATGGGAAATAAGCTCAGCAGATATACAAAAATAGAAAGTGTGTAGAGACAATGATGTATCTTATCACCAGACATTCATCTTATACAGTGTGACAATTCTGAGAGAATTTGAGGTCCTACAAAATTCAATATTGGTGGCCACAATCTTAGCAACAGAAGATATGCAGATAGCAAACATAGAAAAGAAACTCATCATCATCCTTCGACATCTCTGTGGTTGGTCAGGGCTCCATTAACAATCCTTTTCTACACTGCTCGGTTTTGCCATCCCCAGTGTTCTACCCTGAGTCTTGAGCCACGATGTCTGGGGAAGTCAACTTTCATGAGAAGACACCTCCAGAAGGATGCCATAAAAATAAGTTTAACACGACCCCCCCCCC